ATCAGACCTCAAATTAGGAATTCTAAGACAGAAGTTGAAACTAAATGAAGTTGACTACTCATTCAAGTGGATAAACTTCCTTCTGTGCTAGGCTAAAGGTGATAAGAAGAAAAGGTAGGCTATTTTTATTGTGCCAAGTAGTAACAACGTGTAAACAAATGATGCATGAGCTTGTTAAAAAAGTCTGAGGTGTCAACTGTAAATGAGAAGACAGTGAAAGACAAACAATGTGTGATTTCAACCAAATATGGAATACAGAGAAAACAAACAGATAAACTACATAAAACAAAAATAAATTTTGGAATCAACTTATGGTTGCTAAAAAGGAAGGCGGAAGGTGGGTGGATAAACTGGGAATGGGATGGTGAAGGAATGATAGCGTTGTTTAGTGGCTAAATGTCATAAGGTCCCGCGTTGATTCTCAGTAAAGAATATCTTAACTTCTATCATGGTATGATACAATGTTATTTCAATTAAAGATAAAACTAAATCTAATGTTGAAAATTAGGAATTGTGAGAGTAAATTCCCCTTTAAAAATGATGAATTCATATTGAAGATATAAAAACACAGTGCAAGGAAGAATGAACAGAACAGAGAACAAATCACAGAAGCTTAGCAAACAGACTGATATTTGTCACTACTCTCGACAACAGTAAGAAGCAAAACTGCCACTTTCACCCCCAGGATAGGGGCTGGAGGAGTTTGCTGAAGACACTGAAGCAAGATGAAAGCTCATCGGTCAGTGTCTGCTACTATGTACATTTCTTGAACTGTCCTCATTTTCTTTTCAGTATAACAAACACTGTGTATATTATTCGGTATTAGTTCAGTATAACTTCACAAGACAGATCTCATGAACTTATCAGTACAAGTAGTGTAATGTGTAAAGCCTTCAATGCGTTTCGCTCATTTCACTAATATGACAGCCCAACTAGGCAGTCACACATTATACTACAAAATCTAATCTGCTCTCTTGGCATGGCCAGAAACATGTCAGTCTCATGTGCTGCTAAAGCCATTAAAGCCCAAAAACAATTCTCACTTATTCCCTCTTTATTTTGATTCTCCTCTCCCCAGACTTCCAGCCTCCCCTCCCCCAATCAATTAATCTGTGAAAGGAATGCATTAAA